GGAACTCAAGATTTAGTAGAAAATAAAGTGCAAATGCATCTGTACTACTGCAATTAATCCTTGGTTTAAGATTAGCAACACTGATGTTTTGTCACAGTCCATGTACATGTTTGATCTCATTTTATCCCATAAATAGCAGCGAATGCAGTTGACGATAGTCAGTGTAGCAGTAACCTCTGGAGCAGTAGGCCTCAACATTCACAAAGGAAAAATCAAGATCCTTAAATACAACAAAGCGAATACCAACCCAATCACGCTTGATAGATGGAGAAGCTCTGGAAAGGATGGAAACTTTTAGTTTTCGGGACAGCATCACTGATAAACAAGGGGATCTGATGTAGATGTGGAGAAATAGATTTACAAAGCAAGGGAAGCATTTCTAGAGTTGAAGAACATATGGAATTCAAAACAGCTGTCAGTCAAAATCAAAATCTCCAATACGAATGTCACGACAGTTCTGTTGTATGGAACTGAAACTTGGGAAACTGCCACAACCATCATAAAAAAGTACAGGGATTTATAAACAATTGTCTACGCAAAGTACTCAATGTCTGTCGGCTAGATATCATCAGCAACAGCCTAATGTTGGAAAAAAAACCCAGCTTCCATCTGAAGAGGAAATTAGTAAAAGATGCTAGGTTTTAATGGGATACATTGTGGAAATCATCAAACTGCATTGAGAGGAGAGCCCTAACTTGGGATCCTAAAGGCAAACTGAAAAGAGGCAAACCAAAGAACACATGACACCGGAAATCGGAGTCAAACATCAAAAAATGAATAGTACTTGGCAATGATTGGACAGGAGAGCCCAGGACATGATTAGAAAATCTTGGTCGGGAGCAGATGCTTCACGAATGGTAATTGTTAATTAGTATATCTTCAATTAGTTATATTTGAATAGATGTACATGAGTATTATGTTCTTATTTGATTTATTTATTTTAGTCGTTAGGACTAGAAAAGATTTGTACAATTTTGTCGAATTTCCCCGATATTAATTTGGATAAATGTAGAACAGATGCTTTAAAATTAGCATTGGCTACACCTCGAAGCTTAACAACTTGGTCGATTCCCAATAGACAGTATTTAAATCAGAAATTTATGGAAAATGAAGAATTAGAAGTTGAAAACCTGAATTCCAAAGGAAACGAACCATCAACTTCTGATTTCTATGAAGTAAGTTTAATTGCATTTTCGGGCATTCACAAGATTATCCAACTACATTTCTTCTAGAAGTGATTTAATATTACATTGTCAAGATGAATAATTAAACTATTCGTTTAGTAATTATTCTAGTGAAAAGTTCGTTTTTCGCGATTTATACTTTTTGAACTGAACTTGTAGTTAAACGTCGTCAGATATTCGATCTTTTACTCATGAGAATATTACAAATATATTAGTATTTTATTTTTTAGAATCTGTCTTGGTTATGTCCTTCTTACAATACTTAATTTCTAATTCTTACGATTTTGTCATGTATGGCTGCTAATTTTTCGTCATGTTCTTATCTTGTTATTTGTAATAATACTTTTGTCTCTAAAACAATACATTCTTCCTCTTTAATGAGTAAATTTGTTAATCGAATCCTCTTGATTTACAGTCATGTCCCTATTTTTTTAAATTAGCGTTTAAAATCACAGAATGCATGGCCAGATCATTTAGAATATGATTTTACAGAATCACTAGAATATTCTGATATCGATGTTGCATCAAATGTTTGTGAAAAACTAAATATATCGTCGAATGCTTTTAAATTGGTCCCATTACTCAGTTTTAAAGATGCTGTGGTGCATGTGAAACGTCCAGATTGTCTAGTTTTAGATGTACGTAATATCAAAGAATATAACAGGTAAGCATTCAATAAATGTCTTATTTCTATGATATATTGCTATTAATTGTTTTCATGAGTAATATATTCGTGTATTCTGTTTGATATTGATCATAAATTCGTATTTATTTCTCCAAAATTTTAAACATTGATTTAGATAAATTCACTTGGTATTGTTTACTTGAATCTTCCCATTGATGTTTAGGACTGTGAATGGTACTGGGTTTGAGTCCCAGAGTGGACATCAACTCTGAGATGCAGATACATCTAGCTGATGAGTCCCAAATAGGACGAAACGCGCGTCCTGGATTCCACTGCTAATCACTATCCATCTTTGCTTGTAATTGATTTAGATGGTTATAACATTTAATTTTCATTCATAACATTCCATGAGTACAATGATACTAAGCAGTGATTCAATAATGCTTATAAGCAAGCAGGCAGGTCTGTCATCTCACATTATCTATATCATAGTTTGTAGAGGTGAGCCAAAAAATAACTGCGATGAATTTTCAGCCAGTTCTTAGCCGATCAGAAAACAGCTCTTAGGAAATGGCTATTTTTTGGAAAACAAAGCAATAATGTCATAAGTGTTAAACGAATTTTGCATAATTAATTAATCTGTTAAAATCCTTTCAAGGTTTTTCTTTTTACAAATTGAAAAAAATGTTATATGACTTTATCCATATAGATACACAACATTTGGCTTTTCGAACTCTTTTAAATACCTAAAATGATTTATAGGAGTTCCCAGAATGTTCTGAAACCATGAATTAATGTTAAGGTTTATGATTGAAAGTTATGGTTGGAGTTTTTGTCACAAACTGATATAATGTAGTATTACTTTATAGCTACATAGATTGGAGGTTTAGTTGTAGCACTATGCGTTCAGCATTATGGATTTTTTATCAGAGATTTAAGGTTTAAGTCATAATTACGCGTTTATGGTTAGGATTTAGGCATAAAGTTCATTTGAGAGTTTCATACATGTTACATAGCAAGAATTGTTCATTTGATTCGTTTAACACTTTATGGCAATAAAGCTAATTTTTCGTTTTCATTTTTAACGTTTAGAGGACTATACAGAGGTACTTGTACCGCAAAATACCTAACAGCCATTTTCTCAACTTTGATTGCCTCGTCCCTATAATATATTTTCACTTATATCATTTTCGCACTTTTTCTGGATATACTTTTGTGTTGACCGGATGAATAAATAGGAGAGTATCACGTGACTAAGGAACACTAACATAATAACGGTATTAAAGATTGGAATCATTCTGGCACTCATACCTACATGGAAAGTAATATGGTTAAAGCCAAGTAATCAGAATTAATTCTGTAGTTAGTCACTGTATTAAAATAAACGCTTATTTTTCTTATCTCGATGAATGATCAGCTATGATATTTTCATAAAATCTTTGGGTTATAGACAAATTTATCACAGAAAAGTGATTGTAAGATTAATTTTTAAGATCAACTTTCTCCTCACTCAGTTATATATATAATATGCATATGCATCTCTCAAATTTTTTTTATTATGACAATATGATTCAGGTTTATTTATCAAGAATGTAGTTAGATAATAATGCTTAAAGTAAAGAGACTTTAGAATTTTCCATTTTTCTAATCAGATTTTCCGTTGTTTAGTCATTCCCCCAATTTTGTATTGCCATATATTTCCATTCATTATAAGAGTATGATAATTTATCAGTGTTATGTGTTTGTAGATACTACTAGATTTTGTAGTTTATATCACAGACTGATGTTATTTAGATAATCACTGAAAACCACGAAGCAGCAAACACATGTTCTGTCCTGGTATCGGACTCCTTGTCGGTACACATCCACGATCCCACCTAGATCGACTCCAGGACATTTTGATCTTGTGGTGAGCACTTAAAGTGTGGACCACTGAGCTAGAACACATTCGTTCACATTGTATAGCCTCCATCGATTCACGGTATTGTGCAATCATCTCTCAATTTTATTGCTACTGTCTCAAACTCGATGTTTACATCAATTCAATCATATATGAAATAACGAGGTCAACGTTTTTTTTTCATGGAATTAACTGATTTAAGTCAATAGGAATCAAATTCAAAATATTTAAAATAGTTAAGAAGTAATTTACTTTGTAATTCACTTGATCAAATAAAACTGGAGTTATCTGCAACATCTTTAATGTACAATGTGTTTGTTGTTTCAAGTATTTTCATTTAGAGGGGGTGATTGCTGCATATTATAATGTAGGTTTCATTAGTAATTTTTGGTTTTCATCCTGCACGTTGGACTGTACCACGTTGACTTCTTCATATCAAACAGTTATAGAAATCTCCACAGGTGATCAGAAATCTTTGGTGAAAATAAAACTCCGATTTGGAACACTCACTCACTAAATGAACATAAAGATAGCCGACAAACAGCTAGATACAACAAACTTATTGAACAAATAACTTAAAATGTATTGAGATCATGAACCGATTGATGTTAGACCACCATTGAAAACCTGGAAGCACTGGACGGCCATTTCGTCCTATTGTGAGACTCCTCGGCAGTGCGCGTCCACGGTCCCGCTCGCGGGAAAGTTAAATTAAATAGGGCAATAGATAAACTGTAAACATGAAACGCAAAATAAGAAATGTTAGACTTTCTAAGGTCAATCAACAGATCAAGATCAAATGTTCATGATCCACTGTAGTTTTATTAATCGCTTTAATATGATTTACTTTGTATTCTAGGTTTTTGTGCCATTGTTCATTCAATAGTTCATCCATACACAAGAAATACTTTAGATGCAATCAATTCGACATCAGAACCTTTTCATGCATCATTTTGAAAAATTCATCCATTAATTTTATATATTTGGGTTAAATTACAAGTTTCAACCCTTTTGCTTCACTGACTTCACTTTCATCTGGCTGGTAGTATTAGTAGTCTTCAAAAAAACACATTATATATATATATATATATATATATATATATATATATATATATATATATATATATATATATATATATATATATATAAACACTTACATGTCGATGTACAGGGTAAAAAGGGGTGTTGCACAAATTTCGTGTGTGCGCAACGGTTGGGCCATTTAATAAACATTCCAATAGCTTCAGCAGTTTTCAAAAGACAAGTCCGTATATTATAGGGTAAATTTGTATAACTATAAAAGTCTTACTCAATTCAACTTGATTTCTTGTATGTTTCGGGATCATCTGGATCATAAAGTCTCGTAGTAATTTCTGGTCGTTCGTTCAACTTGTGATATCAGTTTGTCCATAGAAGTATGAAAAAAAAGTGTGTAAAATTTACCCTTTGAATTTAATTATAGACATAGAAATTGGAGAATTAACGAATATTAATTAAAGAAGTCTGTTAGCCACTTTACAATTAGCAAATCGATTCACGTGCTAATAAAATTAGTTGTTAACTGTTAAAAATACACTGAATGTAACGATGAGTACTACACAAATCATAAACCAAGTCTGTTAATAAAATTAAACAGGTTTCATTTACGTATCTGATATTTTGTTTCCTAACTTTATAAATTCCAAATTTACATGCTAAGACACATTATTGAATGTTCGGTAAACACTTGATATTATAACTGTGATATTTTTTCCAAAAAAAATCGATTTTTTTCAGATTCCATTTGCCTAACAGTATTCATTGTGGGATTTCCAGATCAGTAATGCTAGATTCCTCATTAATAGGAACCGAGGAAAGCAGCGATATATCTTCAACAACCACTAGCTCTTACAATACTTTCTCTCCAGAAAACTGGGAGGTGATTGACTATCCAAGTGGTAATCGTAATCGACCACAAATCATACCAGAGTTTTTAGCCTTTCTTATAAATCAAAAACTATGGCATCAGACAACACAAGCTAGACAGTTATTAAATATTAAATCAAGTCATGGAGTCACTAAGGAATCAGTCAATACAGTAACACCATATTCACCTGGGCTCTTAATTGTATGTGGCAACGACGAGCGTCTTTGTTGGGATCTGGCGTTTTGGCTCATAAAATGTGATATTGATCGTGTTTGTATACTTTTTAGTAGTAACGACAGTATATCAGACTTCATAAACTTATGTTCTCAATAGTTTGTTGTTCTGTCATCTCACCACCTCAAGATTGTGATTTGTATACCTCTTCATTCCTTTGGTTTCTGTTCAGTATCAGACTACAGTTTTAAGTTCTTTCTGTTAAATGACATCAGTATTTTTTCTTGTTGATCGCATCAAAATATTCTTGATTTTATAATAAGTGATTGAACTACTGTTGCTAATAATCAGTCATTTGTGATTTATTAATTCCCTTTGTATCTTAACCGTTTTTTGTATGTATTTAATACTTTTCAGCATCACTAGTTCGTTGTATTTTTATTGTTTCGTTAATTCTAATCAAAAGTGACTGGGTTGCCTAGTGAAAGTCAATAGAGATGTTTATAGCACTTTATTTGTGGACAAAGCTCCAATCAATTTATGGAAACGTCATAGTCTCGCTAAGAATGATGCTATATCACGTGGTTACTACTCCGGTGGAACGCAGTGGGGTCAGTTGTAGCTATTCAAAGCAGTAAACTATGTATTCAATAGATAGAATGTTACAGATTTTTTTGTCAGATTTACACTGGGACATGATCGGTTCCCAGAACCAGTAGGCAGGAACTGGTGTAGAATTCTCAAATTTCTTAAGATAAGATGATTTTTACTTTCAGTAAAAATTAATTCCTTTGAATAGGCGCAAAACGTTTAGAATTCCAAGAGTCCATAAAATCCAAGATTTGGACAGTGGCGCACACCAATCGAGATTTCTAAAATAACGTAATTCGGTGGGAATGGTTGTACTAATTTAATGCAAAGGTAGGTGTTAAATATACACTGTCAGGTGCTTTCTGGAGGTTTATATGAATGTATGAAAATCCCTTCTAATGTGACGTGTTGCCTTTCAAATTATTTTCCTCTATCCCTTCAGCTGTATACTTACCTGATCTTTTAGTCCTACTATTTTTTCATCGTAACTTTTACTTTTCCTTCGTCTAGCGAATTCCTATGGTTCTCACGAACTACATCAACATTGTTTTACGCGGCTTTGGTGGCTGACATATTGACTCATTTCCCTTGCATTTTTATCTTGAATTAAGGCACATTTTCAGAAATGTAGGCGCTCATTGTCGTAAAAATCTTAAATATTACCTTTTGAGTTAGGTTCACTTTATCTACCCAGAAGGGATAATTTTATTTTCTTAATTACATTTCCTTTTTCGAACTGACTTGTTGAACGGTTATTAGTTGAATTTCTTTAGGACTGTTCCTTACTGTTGGTACGGCTCTCAGAAGGTGCGACTAAGCCCGATACAATTCTCTAGAACATCGACATGACATGTGTGATAAAATAGTTATGTAAACTTCCTGTTTTTGTATTGTCTGGATTATAACGATGTTACTGCACGCAACAGAAGCTCAAAAGACAAATGTTGTTCTGTACACTTTGACACTTCTGTAAACGCTTTTTTGGGACTTAGAGGTACTAGACGCTCCATTGTCGCGGTCATATCCGAATTAACCATAATCAAGTTACAGAATAAACACTTGCATGTCTACTTTGACTTTTAACTGGTAACCGCACGAGTATCCGAATTAAATTTCATATTTATTACAAATTTCAATCCGATTCGGTTTAAAATTTATTTGCATGATCCATAGCCGTTATCGGATGGTCGATTTGTATTCACGGAGCCGCATACAATCGAATTACAATATATCTGTCTCATAATATGTCAGGTATCGTGGAGTGAATGTGTTCTTATCAAAAAAGCAACCTGCTACAATCTCGTGACTGAATAATTCTATCCACTCATAAGTGGATAGTCACCGGTGCTTAATTGTATCAAGCTTGAGAGAAATATCATCAATGATAAGGGATGTCAGCTCAGTGGTCTAAATTTTTCGCGCTTGTCGTGAGACTTGATGTTACTTCAAATTCGAAAACATAAATATATTAAGTAGACCTGGGCCAGAAGGGATATAGTGAAGCACCCAGTTGAGTTCATCTGAAAAGTTGTTTATATGCTGCAGATTCTACTAAGTAACATGAAAAGACGTACAAAACGTGTGCGAGTGTTATTAGGCCACACGACGCCAGGATCAAGCACAAAGGCAAGTTTGAACTGACCATTTCACTTGTGGACTGTCTTGATCATAAAAAAACGTAAATGACAGGGACTGTCAACTCGGAAAACCTTGTATAAGTAGCTTACCTGTCCACTCACATAAGGCTCATACAGAGAAACAGCAAGGAGAAGCTCATGCGTTTCAAATTGAAAGCATAAACTGCTTATACATGAATGCCACGAGTTTACCAAATAAAATGGATGAGCTATGTAAACTTAGTAATGCTCATCTGATAGGAATATCTGAAATTTGGATATCTTCTCAGTTTACGGCACTGTTGGGCAGAATACGAACGAACTGATAACAACGGCGCATACAGGTGAGGATGATACAGGTATTCAGTGTTTGACGACGCTTCTACCAGTAACACCTTCTAATATACTTTGTTCCCACCGAGAGAAATCAAAAGACAGAGTCGAGGAGATCGGGAGAGTGTATTTGGCGATAACCAATATATCGGGAATCTCTGATCTAATCTGGCTAGCGATTGCGGTAGATGTTGAGCACAGCGTTACCACACGTGATCTGGTGCGGATGCATGACCGAGCGCCTTCAGCTAGACGAGTCCACTAAAACATATGGTCAGCATCCAATGTCGAAAACCTACAGAGCTATTTAGTTTGGGGATTTATTTACCGCTACAGATCACTCCGCCCCCCTAGTGGGGCAGTGATGACCCTAAGACGTGGCCAGCCAGAAGTTTAAACCCAATGAGTTTGTCGTTGGTAAACACTCTTCTGATAGCTTACTAAATTTAGCAGCGTCTGGTCGTCTTTCCTTACTATATGGGACCGGGGTATAACATAGTAAAAAAAGAAATGTGCAATAAAAATTTCGGATCCCCATAAACGTCATCGTTCTTTTCCAGCCGTCCTGGAAAAGAAAAAAGAAAATGTAAGTGCATGTCGAAATACACTCGTATGTACGTAAAAACGCAATGTCGGCGAAAAAAAGGAAAATAAAATCAAGCACACATAATAGCGTTAAAAAATATTTTTTATAAAAATATAAGTATATGCGCATAGTAAAATCGTTTTTTTTCTTAAAAAAATTGATATATATCGTAGAAAGAAAGATCGAGATAATATAAAATGTCGAGTAGTGCTTTACGTGCAATAGTCGTTTAAATGTTCTGGAAATCTTACTCTTCTTCCAGAACATGTCGTTTTAAGTTTATTTTCAGACACATTCGGAATGTCATCGCTAGTGTTGGTTGTCGGTTGAAGAATTATGAGTGTAGGAGTAGTGTTGTGCGATTGTACCGAAGGAAAGTCGACGTAGATAGGATTTCCTTCTAAATACGCTGCTTTTAAGCAATCGATGCTGATGCTATCGTTTGTTCCGTTCTTATCGACTATGTAGTACTTAGATTCGCGTTGAAGAACATTGAAAGGTCCTTCGTATGCTGATTCGAATGGTCGTCGATGTGCGTCTCGACGAACGAAAACGTGTGAACTATATTGTAAGTCAGGTTGAACGAAAACATCGGTTGATTGTGGTCGTGTGGAAGCAGGTTTAACTGAACGCATTGCGTTTGTAAGCCTGTTCATGTAGGAGGTTAGATCCATGTTCATTGAAGAGGATGAAGGATCCACGAATTCTCCTGGAAGTCGGAGTGTCGTTCCATAAACGAGTTGAGCCGCAGTGTATCCAATGTCAGCTTCCACTGCATTGCGGATACCTAGTAAAACGAGTGGAAGAGCGTCGGTCCACTGTGAAACGTTTGCAGCTGATAGTGAAGCTTTTAGTTGTCGATGAAAACGTTCTACCAACCCGTTTGGTTGTGGGTAGTAGGCGGTCGTTCGGAAGCGAGTGCTTCCTAATAGTGTGGTCAGACGACGGAAAAGTTCAGACTCAAACTGACGTCCGTGGTCTGTAGTGATGGTTGAAGGGCGACCGAAGTTTGCTACCCATCGTTCGACGAAGGTGCGGGCCACGGTTTCAGCAGTGATGTCCTTGATAGGTACTGCTTCTGGCCATCGAGTGAAACGATCTACACAGGTTAAGAGGTAAGAGTATCCATTTAAATCTGGTAAAGGTCCTACCAAATCCAGATGAACATGGTCGAAACGAGCATCGAGAGTTTCAAATGAGCCTAAGGGACATTTATTGTGTCTGATGACCTTAGATTTTTGGCAGCTTACACAGGAGCGTGCCCACTCCCTCACATCTTTATTAATACCAGGCCAGCAAAACGGTTCTGCTATAAGCTTGATGGTTGCACGAACACCTGGATGAGAAAGTTTGTGCAATATGTTGAAGACATTGCGTCAATAATGTTTCGGGACGATTGGGCGATCCATACCTGTAGATGTGTCACAAAATAAGGTTTCCTTACTTGTTCCCATCTGTTTGATGCGTAGTTTAAAAGTTGTAGACGATAACTGTTGCTAAAGATCAGTGTCTTCTTTTTGAAAGTGGGCGAGTTCAAGAACGTCGATTCCTTGCAAAGTGTTCAAGTTATTTATTCGAGACAAGGCGTCTGCAACTAGATCGTTTGCTCTAGAAATATGTTGAATATCTGATGTAAACTGCGAAATGTAGTCCAGTTGTCGAGACTCACGGGGAGAGTACTTGTCAGAAGGAGATCTTAACGAGAAAGTGAGTGGTTTATGGTCCGTGAAAAGAGTGAATTCACGGCCTTCGATATATTGTTGGAAATGCCGTACAGCACAATACATTGCTAGGAGTTCCCTACCGAATGTGCTGTACACAAGCAGTACAAACGAATAGGGAACACGTGCACAAAGGTTATAAGAGAAGACAAACTTCAGTACCAGATATAGTTTATAGATGAGTTTGTTCAGTCCCCTCTTCGACAAGCCAAAACTGTAGTTTTCCAACTGTTAGGTCATAATGGCCCAACCAATAACGACGGTGACGCCACTTACCCTTTGGCTGAACAATACTCTTGGACATTTCAACCA